CTATAACCGTAGGATCAAGCGCAGAGAGGCGCTTAATATCCATAGCTCGAGATCTGCTTGTTCGAAGCTCTGAATGGCGAGAAATGAAGCGAGATACATAGTTCTTGCCCAGGGGCCGCGAATCGCCTCGATTTCGCAGGATTTCGTACACAAAAGAGCGAATTCTAGGGTAATTTGGGCATAGATTCTGCCGCTGTAGATCTCGAATCCACTGAATTAGAGTTTTTTCTTCTTCTAAAGATAGGCGTTGAGTCCTGCGATTGGCTTGCGTACGTGGGTTGCGACCTCTGCGTCGGTAAGCCACAGTCGTTTTTGAAACCCTGTATTTGGCAGCTACCTTGCGAATTGACTTCTCAGCACCTATATCTAGGTCATTTAACGCCTGCTGAATCAATTGCTCTTGGTTTGAGGCCATTTGGACGTAAATTGGTGGAGTAATAAGCGTTAGAAATTTGAGGGTGGTTTTTTGTGGGTGACCCGAAATTGGCCCGCTTTGTGGGGTGGCCCGCTTTATGGTGTTGGGCGTTAATAGCTATAGAAGCGCATTACTGTAACAGCTCAGAAACAGCATTTGGCGTTCAATTCGTATAGCAATGCTCACTGCCATAAATAACAGGGCGTAACAGTTACAGAGCGTTTCGTGCGTTTTGCATGCGGGGACCCTTGTACCATCATGCTAATATGTAACAGATACGTATCATATACGCAGGGATTCTGACACCTCTTAGCATCCCTAACAAAAACATATAGAGAGATCCCTAGAGGTCTTCCCTGGGCTCTAAAAACTATTAAAACTATTTTTATTTTATATTTTTGTTTTTAATTGGAGAATGTTACTACTAGTACTACCTTTAATCCTACTGTCGATTTGGGCGTACACAGTACGATGAAGTTTGTTTCTATCATGATAGCCTCTTTTACCTACATATGAAAACAAACTTCACCTTTCAGGGATCCCCATACCTTTGTTCCTTCATACAACTCACACTTCAGGCTTCAGGCTTCAGGCTCCAGGCTTCAGGCTTCAGGCTCCAGGCTTCAGGCTTCAATCGTCATCAGATACCTGCTAAACTCCTCATCAGCGTCCAGATAAGGCATCTCGTCGTCGAACAAGTTCAAGCTTAGCTCAACACCGCCATGTTTCGGGTTCCGGGGGAGGACGTGGCCAAGTCGCACGGAAGGCGCGTACGGCCCGTGCAGTACACGGAGCGCATGTGGAATGCCGCCGTTTCCAAAATACCGATCGCCAAGGTTGATCTCGTGCATGGGCAACGCGATGATGTTAGAGAGCAGCAGATCGGCGGAATCAGGTCGCTCTACGAAACGGCCCTGCACACGCGACAGATCGGCTGTCGAGCGTAACAGTGCGTACGCGTCACGCACAGCTTGGCTGTCAAGGCTGGCTGCGCCTTGACGGAGGGCCTGCGCCACGCGGCCGAGCGAAGTAGAGGGCGCTATGAGCTCGGCCAGCGGCATTCGCACCGTGTTAAGCAAGAAGCAGTTGCCCAGGTAATTAGGCGGGAAATCAGGTGCGAAGACGTTGCGTACATCGACAGGCGACTCAAACAGTGACATCTCGTCCAGTGTATACGATCGGGCTGTAGCCGCGGCGGCGCGCGCCCTCATCACGCACCGCCAAAACAGCGCGTTGATACCGTCGCTAATCGAGAGGGGCGACATCCCGGGCGGTAATGGCTCAGCTGCACATTCCTTCTGTAGGGCAGCGAGGTCCGCGCTCGATAGGAACATGACCCGGTTAAGCATAACGCGGGGGTGGTCTGAAGGAAAAGAGTTGCCATTGGCGGTGTGACTGTGACTTGCTGTTGCTGCTGCTGCTGCTCTTTGCGTAGCACCGGTGACGTCCTCGCCTGGATAGTCCGAGTCTAGGCCGGCCAGACCCTGTAGCCACGGGTCGTCGGGGTTGCGGCTGGACCTGCCTCCGCTGCTTTCTCGTTCCCAGATCCTGTCTGGAAGGGTGCGGTCTCGGTCAGGGGGCGTGAATGGCGACGGTGCGACCCGCGAACTGGTGTCTCGGTCATGCAACTCACAGAAGTTTTTAGCCCACAGCTTCATGATGTTGAGCATTCCCGCTGCGTCAGTGGCCGCATGGACAGTGGTCATGCCTAGCAGCAGGCCACCGAGAAGAAAGTTAGCCTGGCCCACAAAGATGTCGGCGCCGGCCACGTCCACGTCACCCAGTCGGGGCGCATCGAGGAGGAGTTCCTCAGGGAAAACACCACTGGGAAAGCCGCAGTCCCTGAAATCGGCGTACGTCCAGTCGGTGTCAAGCCGCTGGTATCGAAGCTGGTATGGTCGCGCTCCGTCCGGCGAGTACGGACGGTAGCGGATCTCGAGCTGGCCTGGGCGCCATCCCGGCGTGTCGGGCGCCTGGCGGAAGACCTTGCCGCTGATCCAGGGTTCCTGTACGAAGGTCTTGTGCAGCGCTTCGCGGAGGTCGTTGAACACGACTTTATCTTCGGCTCCGGGTTTTAGCACGAAGGGAAAGAGAAGGCGGACATAGTTGCGAGGCGGGATGTAGTCCAAAGGGTTGAGTGTGATGTGAATCTCGTCTGAATCCATTGTGCTGACTTGATCACTTGTTTTAAACTTCAGACCCAAACGATGGGATAATGGGAAAAGCAGGAGAATATCGAGGTCAACACTAATCCAGAGACTTGCCTCACAAATTCATTATTGGGAATCAATCAACACCAGCGCCCTTATTTAGGCCTAGTGCATCGCCACAGAGACACGGCAATCCTTTGGTCCTGAAAAGTGCCCTTCAGCCCAGCATTGCAGAGTCAGAGGATCTGTCGATCTGTTGACTCGGACTCCAGGGATGAGCGACAGTGGGAACATGCCCGGCTTCAGTTCCAGTAAGCAGGAGTTGGAGTTCCCCGACGGGGCCAGACACAGTGGCCGAGGAAACAGTAATTCGAAATTCCCAGTCTTGCATTTTACGTAAGGCTCGCAGAGTCAGCCTGGCCCACAAAAGCAGAGTTATAGTGACTGCAGGAAGTGACATGGGTCCCCAGTGATGTGCTTCCGGGTAGAGAGTCCCACAAAAGGTTCGGTGGTTGGTAGTAGCTGTTAGACTGCCACGACCTAACAGAAAGAGGCGAAGATAAGACGCAGAAAAGGCGCTGTTTTGTGTGATGGAAGTGTGTAGATTCTATCTATGCCCTGCAGACGGCTAAGGCCTCTATTTGGTGTGCGGCAGGCGCATGAAAAAAGTAAATAATTATTAAAAATATTAATTTGTATTACCGACTAGTATTTTATATTTCGATTCTACTCCGTACTTGTTATTATTATACGGAGTTGTGCCCCAAAAGTAGTCAAACCACGCTAACAATGAGGCTTACCAGTAACAGCTGGCTGTGATTAGCGTGACTGTCTAGCTAGTAGTGTTGGTAAGCTGTACTAGGAGGAGCCCCTAAGAGCCGCTGAAGCTTAGGGGTTATCAAGGCTTATCTTACTGACATGGCTATCTATGTTTAGGGGCTTCTTGTGATCTGGCCCTCCTAATCACACTCCCAAGTCCCTGATGCACATTGTAGGCCTTGACTTGAGCTACAGCTACTAGCTCTTACCTAATATTAGCGTGGCTTGACTACTTATGGGGCACAACTCCGTAATCTGATCAGAATTAAATTAATACATATCTTTAGTTTAGTTGCTTTCAGTAGAAGATGTCAATCATAACATCACTACGGAGTATTTAACAGGGATTGAAGCCATCCTAGTATTTGACAGTAAGTCACTAACAAGATGCATGAAACGACTCTAATCTGGGGTCAAAGGAGTCAAAGACATCTGGATCCCGAGTTAATGAGCTGACTGTCTTATGTCCATCACTCTGTCCCTAGCAAAAGACAAGATGGAGGTCTCTATTCCTGAGTCACCGCGTGAGGCTACCCACAGCAAGAGGCTGAAATTTGTCTATATCAACAAGTATGGCGAAGGACATCGCACCGAGTGCATCGACGGAGAGTCTACAAAAGAATTGGCAGCTGCGTTTAACACATAAAGCCAGTCATCAGGGCGTTGCCTGTGGTCATGCGAGATCCCTTAATCCCGCCATAAGCCTATGCAGGAGCCCCCCAAGCAAAGCATTGGCAAGGTAGGCTGAGAACATACCTCACCAAGCCATGGGATCTACAGCTCCTTTCGAGCCTATTGCCGTGGTGGGCCTGTCATTGCGCCTACCCGGCGGCGCCAACGACCTTGACGGGCTCTGGAAGCTACTGGAAGGCGGCGAGCCGGCATGGACGCCGGTGCCAGCAGACCGGTACAACGAAGAGGTGAGTCCAGAACAAACTCACAAACACACACACACAGAGATAGAGTGAGAGTGAGAAAGAGAGTCAACTCACATTTGATAGGCTTTTTACCATCCCAACGCCGATGACCCAAACGGCACCAGTAACCACCCGGGTGGGCACTTCATCTCGGGCGACATACGCGACTTCGACCACGCCTTCTTCCAAATCTCCAAGTCGCAAGCGGCCGCTATCGACCCACAACAGCGACTTTTGATGGAGCTCGCCTATGAGGCGCTCGAAAATGGCGGTATCTCACGCGAAAGCATCGCAGGAACATCCACCTCTGTCTTCACGGCCATTTTCCCAACAGACTACAACGGCCACCTGTACAGAGACCCGCTGGACCTTCCCGTCTACTACATGACTGGCGTAGAAACGGCCATCTTTTCGAACCGCCTCTCGCACGTGCTGGACCTTCGTGGTCCCTCTATGACGCTAGACACAGCGTGCTCAGGCGGGTTAGTTGCACTGCACCAGGCGTGCCAGAGCCTACGGGGCGGCGAGTCGGACGCGGCACTTGTGGCGGCATCTAATCTAATCTTAGGGCCCGACCACTTTATCGGCCTGAGCAACCTACACCTACTCAGCAGCACCGGACGGTGCTACCCCTTTGACGAGCGCGGTAAAGGCTACGGCCGTGGCGAGGGCATAGCCATGCTGGTTTGGAAGCGCCTGGACGATGCGATCCGTGACCGTGACCCCGTGCGCGTCGTGATTCGGAGCACTGTCATCGGCCAGGATGGCTACACACCTCAGAACATCACCTACCCCAACGGCCAGGCACAGGCTGACTTGGTCCGAACGGCATATGCCTGTGCTGGCTTGCGGCCGGAGGATGTTGCCTATGTGGAGGCGCATGGTACCGGCACTAAAGCCGGTGACAAAGAAGAGTTACAAGGCATCGCTGATGTCTTTGCCAGCACCACGGACCGCGCCGTGCCTCTCTATGTTGGCTCCATCAAGGGCGCTATTGGCCACACCGAGGCCGCTGCTGGTCTGGCTGGCTTGCTTAAAGCGACAGTGATGCTCGACCGTGAGCTGATCCCGCCCGTCGCCGGCTTCGCCAATCCAAAACCTGGCCTGCCCTTAGATCGCATGTCGATCCCGACTACCATGATCCCTTGGCCGCATGCCGTCGGCATCACACCTCGCATATCCATCAACAGTTTCGGCTTTGGTGGTGCCAATGCCCATGCCATCCTCGAAAGGGGTCCGCGACCCCTTCCCAAAACATCCGCCCACGACGCAGCCTTCCCACGTCTCTTCACTCTCTCAGCCAACAGCGCGGCATCGATGAAGGCCATGATTCAAGCCCAGCATGACTGGGTCGAGCAGCGCGCCGAAACGCCGCTGGCTGATCTCTCTTATACACTCTTGCACCGTCGCTCCGCCCTGCCCTATCGCTTCAGTGCTGTGGCTGAGGATCGCGCCTCGCTACTAAAAGCACTCAGCCAAGGCTTCGCCACGCCCGCGATCAAGCCATCGCCCACCGAGCTAGACATCGTCATGGTGTTCACCGGCCAGGGCGCCCAGTGGGCTGGCATGGGCCGCGAGCTGCTGGTGGAAGAGACTACATCCTCCTCAGTCTTCCGTCAATCCATCCGTGCGTCACGCGACATCCTCCACCGGCTAGGCGCTACCTGCTCAACGAGGCGGAGCTGGCACAGCCTGCCACGACGGCCATTCAAATAGCCCTCCTCGCGCTGCTCCGTGCGCAAGGGGTCCGACCGCGCGCCGTGGTAGGCCACTCAAGTGGCGAGATTGCTGCAGCATGCGCAGCGGGGCATCTGTCGCACTCGACGGCCATTAAGGTGGCCTTCCACCGCGGCTGTATGGCCGCTGCTGTCAAGACCAAAGGCCTGGGCCCTGGCGCTATGCTGTCAGTTGGGCTCAGCGAGGACGAGGCCGCTAGATACGTCAAGGGCCTGGCCCTAGGCAATGCTATGATTGCATGTATCAACAGTCCTCGTAGTGTGACCATTTCAGGAGATGCCGATGCCGTTAATGAAGTGGACGAGCGTATTGCTGCGGTTGACGACAATATATTCCGTCGCAAGCTGCTCGTCAACACCGCATACCACTCACACCACATGCGCGCTGTTGCTGACGACTACCGTGCGCGTCTCGGTGTCTTGCGCGTCGAGAACAGGGCTGCTGTTGCTGATGAGGAAGTCGCCTTCTTCTCCTCCGTCACCGGCCAGCTCAAAACATCTGGCTTCGGCGCAGAATACTGGATCGCCAATTTCGTTTCTCCAGTTCGCTTCCGCGACGCTGCCCAAGCTCTCGGCAAGGCGCGCCATCAAGCTGGCCAGCAGACTTTGTTCGTCGAGATCGGTCCACATGCTGCGCTGGCAGGGCCAGTCCGACAGTGCCTCCAGCACCCAGACATGCCCAAATCTCCCTTCGTCTACCATGCGCCCCTGCAGCGCAAGGTGAGTGCGGTTGTCAGCACATTGACCTTAGCTGGCAAGCTGCTTGAACTTGGCGTTCGGATTCACTGGAACGCTGTGTCAGCAATGGTGCCTGGCGCAGATACGGCTATGGTGCGACACGATCTGCCCGCCTATCGGTGGGATCACTCGACGAAGCACTGGCACGAGTCACGCGTGGCGCGGGCGTATCGCCTGCGCGAAGAACCATATCACGACCTGCTGGGCGTGCCGGTGCTTGATGCAACCGACATCGAACCGCGGTGGCGCCATTTCCTCAGTCACGCGGTCATGCCGTGGCTGGCGGACCACGTGGTCGACGGGCTGACTGTCTTCCCAGGCGCAGGCTATGTCTGTATGGCGATTGAGGGAGTTGCACAGCTCGCGCGTCGGCGCTACCTGCAGCGGCCACTCGAGATGGTGGCCCTCCATGACGTCTCGTTTAAGCGCGGACTAGTTGTGCCCGACACGCACCGGGTCGAGCTGCAATTGAGTCTGAGGCCACAGTACCGTTCTGACCTTGCTTTCTATTTCAGCATCACAGCGCTCTCGGACAGCGGCGAGTGGTATGAACATGCCATTGGTGTGGTCGAGGGGGTGCTGAGCGAGGACGATGTCAAGACTGAGACAACAAAAGAGGCGTTGCCTAAGCTTCCACTCGGCAGCGACACTGTGCCGAAAGACACTCTCTACCGCCAAATGGATGCTGTCGGCAATACCTATGGCCCGGCGTTCGCCGGTCTCCATTCCATCACCATGGCAGCCGATGCGTCGCAGGCTTCGTCCTCGTTTGAGATCCTCGATATCCAGGCTTCGATGCCCGCCAAGCACCAACGTCCGCACGTCATTCATCCATCCACCCTCGACATTGTGTTCCAGACGGCGTTGCCGCTCGTAGGCCGGCGTCTAGGCCCTGGATCCATCATGCCAGTGCATGTCGACGAGCTACTGATCGCCGCTACTCCTTCGCTACAAACACCCGGTTCCGGGCTCGATATCTCAACACTGCTCACATCTAGTCACTTCCGTACTGCCGTTTCTGATATTTCTGCCTTGGCGAGCGGCCAGCGGGTGCTGTCTGTCTCAGGGATGGAGTTCAGAAGTCTGGGATCACATCCGCGAGGGGCCAAAGATACTGCGGGCACGGTCAACCGTACGCGTGAAATATGTTACGAGCTTGATTGGCAAACCGGCATCGACTATGTGCGTGCTGAGGACTTGCCAGCAAACCTAGCCCTGACCGATCTCATCGCGCAAATCACCTTCAGACGTCATGGTCAGTCAGTCATCGGGCTGGGCGTCAGCGTGGACCTGTCCGAAGAGTTCCTGAATGCTGTTCAAACTCATAACAAGGTAAATTCACATGACTTTGTTGACATTACGCCAGGCCGCTTCGACGATGCCGCTGAGCGCCTCAAGGGACTTCCGGTGCAGTTCCGCACCCTCCGGCCCGGCACCAATCCCGTCGTGCGCGGCTTCGAGACTGGTACATATGATGTCGTGCTGGCTGCGTCTGCCAACTGGCTTAATCAGGCCGCCGTGCTCGTCAAACCAGGTGGCACCATAATACTTGTGTTGAGCGGACGCAACTCCAAGGATAGTGCATGGCGCGCCACTCTGCAGCGGACACCTACTCCGCTAGAAGAGCAGCTGACTTTTCGTGACAACAGCCAGGACAGGTTGATCGTCATGGCGAAACCTGCCAGCATACATCTCCCGGCCAAGATCCACATTCTCACTCACTCAACATGCAATACTCCAGCTTGGGTCTCCGCAGTCGAGAATGGGCTCCGCGCCCGCAACGTCAATGTCTTGCTCGACACGCTGAGCTCCAGCACCGTCCAGTGCCTGCTCAGCAGAGGAGCAATAGGAAGGAGCAGCAACGACACAGTCATTGTCGCGGATGATGTGCCCAACCTGCCGATCCTCACTGACGCCAACACTTTCAACGCCGCCATCACCTTGCTGAGGCAGCCAGCGCGTCTTGTGTGGCTCAGCCCGGATGACCCAGCCCCCTTCCACCAGATCGAGGGCGTCGCACGCACGGCCCACGCTGAAAATGACGATCTGCGTCTCACTACCATCCATGCCGCTTCGGGCTTGCTTACAAATAGGAGCGGTCACGAGCGTTTGGTCGACCTCGTCGTTGGTGCAATTAGTCAGGCAGCGGATCCCAACATGCCGCATACAGAGCGTGAGTACCGCATCCGCGAGAATGGCGCCGTGCTGGTCCCACGCTTGCACTACAGCGACAAACTCAATCGTGCCATCGCCGACGACGGTGATTCTGGACCCGAAACGGAAGGCCATTACTTCACGGATAGCCAACGGCCCTTGGTGCTTTCGTCTGAAGGTAAAGCGCTTTTTGTCGACGATGACAAGGTCTATGCTACACTCCCGGCAGACGATATAATCGACGTGGAGGTCCAGGCTGCCGTGCTCTCCAAGGCCGGTTCAGCTGCTCCCATGGGTGAATATGCAGGCGTTGTTGCACGCGTTGGCGCCAATGTCAAGACTCTGGACCTGGGTGATCGCGTTGTCGCTCTGGCTCCCATCGTGGGCGCCAGTCGATTGCGCATTCCACACACTAACGCTGGTCGCATCCCATTCAACATGCCATCCACCACCGCATCCGCACTTCTGCTCAGTGCCATGGCCGCTGCTTATGCCCTTCGTGGAGTGGCTCGCCTGCTCTCGAGTGGGGGCACCGTATTGGTGCATGGAGCCCGCACTCCCGCTGGGCGAGCTGCCATTGCCCTTGCCCGATACATCGACGTCCGTGTTGCTGTCACCGCTGCTGACCCGGCCGAGGCTCGCTTGCTGAAGGAACAAGTTGGCATCGATGCTCCTGATGTGCTCGTAGCCCGTCGTTCGCTCCACCGTCGCTCAGCGCGCGATATCTTCGCCGATGGATTCGATGCAGTCATCCAGGCCGGTGAGGATGCCCTCCCAGCTGAAGCGCTGGCACACATCAAACCGTTCGGAAGCGTTATCGTAGTAGGCCACTCATCATCTGCCGTAGTGACGCCAAAACTGCCGCTTAATGTGGCCTTCCATTTGGTCGACATTACCAGTCTCGTGCAGGCCCGTCCCGACCTGACGCCCACCCTTGTCGCCGAAGCGACAGCTGCGCTCAAGCACGTTCCGCTGTCTGGGCTTGAAATCCCCGTTCGTGATGTCGCTGAGGTCGCTGAGGCCCTCCGGCTGATCAACACTGGTGTCCTTGGAAAGGTTGCGCTACAGGTCGGTTCTGACTCAATCGTACAGGTCATCCCGGCCGCCAAACCCGATACCTGGGCCAATGAAAACGCCACATATGTTATTGCAGGTGGTCTGGGCGACATTGGGCAGAGGTTCCTGGTCCAAATGGCGCAGCGCGGCGCCAAACATCTGGCCACGATTTCGCGCCGCACTGTTGACCCAGACAGCCAACATGCGTTGCAAATCAAGTTGGAAGCTATCCGGCCGGGCATCCGTCTGTACATCCTCAAGGGCGACGTATCATCTGAGCGCAGCGTGCAGGCGGCCGCTGCCACGCTTTCTCACCTGGGTGCGCCTCCAGTGCGTGGTGTTATCCAGGCAGCTACTTTCATGAATGTAAGTTGCCGCTTCCTCTTCTCCTCGCTCTGCTCGCACGGTGCTGACTGTACTTAGGATCGGCCCCTCGAATTGACCACGTACGACGACTTCACAAGCGTGACCAAGATCAAGGTCGACGGCACGCTCGCTCTCCACCGCGCCTTTGCATCTTCAGAACTGACCTTCTTCCTTTCGCTGTCCTCGGTCTCCAGCATCGTCGGTGCCAGCGCCGAGGCCAGCTACAATGCCGGAAACGCGCTGCAGGATGCCCTCGCGCACCAGGGAAAACAACACTCAGGGAAGACCCGTTTCTTAACCATCAACTTTGGCTGGATCGACGACGCCGTCCTGACCATGAACGACGAGACACGCCAAGGAGCCTTGCGCCGTGCTGGTTTTAGCCTCTTCAGCGCTAGGGAGCTGACGCGCTTCTTCGACTACATCCTCGGTGCTGCCACAGACCCCAATTCCAGCCTCTCCCAGGCCATCATCGGCTTCGACACCGAGTCCCTGGCCAGTGCGACCGCTTACAACGGCACCATCCACTCAGCATTGTTCAGCCAGGTACGCGACCTTCGGCGCGATATCGGGGTCACCCCTGTCGAAGAAGGCTCGGGTGTGGAGGCTTCAGCAGGTAGTTGGCAGACATTCGAACAGATGATCAGCGACGGCAACACAGAGGCGGTGACCGACTTTATTTCGTGCGCCGTGAGGGCGCAGCTAGCGCGGCTGATCTCGGTGGATGCGGGCAGCATTGACGCCCACCAAGGCTCAATCATGGCACTGGGTCTGGACTCGCTGGTTGCTGTCGAGCTACGGAACTGGGTCATGCGCCAATTCGACGCGCCGCTACAGTCTACGGAGATCCTAGCGAACCAGACGGTACACACATTGGCTGAGAAGATCGCGACGCGATCTAAGAAGGTGAAGTGTGTTGCGGCTTGAGGAGAGATGAGTGTCAGAGGCAAGAGGCCAAAAAAAGAATATCCAACTCGACCGGTTGAGTGATTTGACTTGTGGAATTTCCAACTAGACGGTATATTTTTTTGGCCGTACTCTCTGTATCTGAGTAAGGATATTTACACAAATATTTTATCCTAAATGTTACTTTAGTATATATCTGCTTTTTTGTAGTGTGCTCTCACGAGTAGTATGTACATACTTTCGGAGATCTGTTCGGGTGGTACTAAGAGGGCTACATTAAACTAAGCACGTGTCAGACCTCTTTATCTACTGTGTAACAATTAATAGGAGGTGCATAGAGAGCAAGTGGTTTTATGTAATAAGGAGCAGCGTACGTACTACGTGGGGATATAAAGTAGTATTAGTTTAGCGCTCATGTTTTTACTCAAAGACGTCTTTTGTGCAAGACAGTATTAAAGAGCTACAGTAACTCTGTTATGCTATTCTCTCTCTCTATTAAGAGAAAGAGTGTCATGCACCTGCCATGCGCCTGCCAAGCGCCTGCCGTGCGCCCCCGCCGTGCGCCAAATAGAGGCCTTATAGCCGTCTGCAGGAGATAGATAGAATCAACACACTTCTACCACACAATTTCAGCGCCCTTTTGACGTCTTTTTCTCACCTCTTTTCGTTAGGCCGCGGTCGTCTAACAAAGAGTCTTACTATGTAATCACGGTATTTGGAGGCCTGTAGCCTAATAATAAATAAATTACTACTATAGATAGATGGAGATATAATAGCTAACTAATTCCTAAGCCTCTTAGTCTTTTAAGTGGAATCTTCTTTACTTAAGAGAAAGGTATCACCACCCCTGCAGTAGTAAGGTGTACGTAATTAACCGGATGTGGCCCTTGGCACATCATAACGCTTGCCATAGTAATTTATATGCAGCACGTAACCAACAGGATGGGTATTAGGGATGCCAAGGGGTGCAGATACATGAGATGGTTCGGGGGCAGCGCACGGTCTATACTGCTGACAATGGGCCTTGGGCATGTTGAAGTGTATGCGATAGGGCTTAGCATTCCTGACAATCTGCAAAAGAAACTGTAGATATTTTCACTGTTTGAGGAGGGAAGGGGATACAGATATTGTGACGTTTGACAGTACGAGTCAATATGAAACGGCTCATTGTCACGTGGGTCTACAGGGTGTAAAAGTCATTAAAACGACGTTGAAAGGTGTTCAAAACAGCAGCGTGATGTCAGAAATAAACGTTGTGAGTTAAATTATTGTGAGTAGAAGCGAACAGTACAGCCTAACTGTAAAGCGTTAATGTCTTGGTATAGGCATCTGCTCCAATGCATCCCAATGACTCCAAGTCTGCCTAGCAGACACTTGGCCTCCCCATCAACAACCTCATCCAACAGTATCCCGTCAAAATAGATACTACTCCGCTAATCTGTCATTTGACTTGCAGATAGATCTTTCCTGACCTACATTGTATCCGCGTCTGTACAATCAGCGTGATGGAGGAGTTCGCATCCGAAACTGACAGCGACTACACTTCCTACTGGCGTGATTGGGTGGGTACAGAAATCTCTCTTCGTTGCTGCTGCGTTGTACATCTTGCTGCTTTGTCGTTAGAGCGGATGTGTGCTTTTAAGCACCTTTGTTGCTAATATGGGATCCTGGGCCAGCGCTTTGTTGGAAGACAGCCTTGTGATTGCTGCTCGTATTCGTCTGTGCAAGATATGCTTCATAAGAGTTGGGTTCCTCCGAAGGGAAAGTGAGCTCATGACATGACTTCCAGAGGACCAGTAAGAGTCTTTGTTTCCTGGTTTAGGACCAGTCACCTTATTACCAACGGCGTCGTCGTTCTCCGGCCTGAAGGTGTGCAACGGAATTTCTCGCAGAGATTTTCTCGCACTAAACACCTTCTCGGCTTTGCCCCTGTCTACTATTGTATACCATCACATACCCTGTGCCTCTCTACAGCTCTCCGAACCTTAGCTACATTGTTCGCCCACCTGTGACGGACCAGGAGAGCACACGCTGCGCAAGAGAAACCTCTATCTACTTTCCTGATCAACACGAATTATGTCTTCTCCCGAACCCGTCGACCAGCCTTCGGGCGCAGCAGCTCAAATAACAAGCATAGTCAGCACAGACGACTCGGGACCGTACTCCACGGCGCCTTCAAACGCAATAGGTCCAATACCAAGCATAGCCGGCATACACGCCACGGGGCCATACGCAATAGGCCCCTGGATCGAGAGAGTTGGCCCCCCAAAGTCCCTGCTTTTGCTGTTTGCGATGCTAATTTTGCGACCTTTTCAAGAAGAACATCAGAACAACAAAGCTAACAGCCACACTCGACAGTTCGTCTCATCCCGCGGCAACGAGTACTTCTGTGAAATCGACGAAGAATACCTTACCGACCGCTTCAACCTTACTGGCCTCAACACCGAAGTGCACTACTACCAACACGCGCTGGACCTAGTCAACGATGTCTTCGATCTCGACTGTGACGACGAAATGCGCGAAGCCATCGAAAAATCAGCGCGACACCTCTACGGCCTCGTCCATGCTCGCTACATCGTCACAACTCGTGGTCTTGCCAAAATGGTGAGTCATATAGACTCCCCACTTGCCAGCTCATGCCGGTAAAATCCAGGTCTCTTAAATTAACCTTCTTTCTTCCCATTTTTCCAGCTCGACAAATACAAAAAAGCCGACTTTGGCAAATGCCCGCGCGTGATCTGCGACTCGCACCCGCTCCTCCCGATGGGCCAGTCGGACATGCCGCACCAGAAAGCCGTCAAGATGTACTGCGCCAAATGCGAGGACATCTACAACCCGAAAGCGACGCGCCACGCCACCATCGACGGCGCCTACTTCGGCTCCTCCTTCCACAACATCCTCTTCCAGGTCTACCCGGCCCTCATCCCGGAGAAGAGCCGGGCCAGGTACATGCCGCGCGTGTTTGGCTTCAAGGTTCACGTGGCGGCGGCGTTGGCGCGGTGGCAGGACGCGGTCAGGCTGGAGCAGCAGAGGGGGCTGAGGGAGGCCGGGGTGGAGAACGCGGCGTTTTTGGAGGATGAGGGCGCGGTGGCGGATGAGGAGGATGGGTTCGGACAAGGCGGGGACGAGGGTGGGGAGGACGTCGAGAGGGTGGCTGCAGAGGGAGATGGGGCCATGGAGGTGGTGAAGGAGTGAACCACGTGCATAAATTCATTGATGAGATAGAATAGGGTTGAGTGGACGCCAGATGCATAGCGCGGCGCAGACGACTTGCTCACGGATAAGAGCTGCAATGAGCACTATGAGCACCAAGAGCACCAAGAATTGCTTACGAATTGAGATACCCCTTCTTGCGAGTATCGTATCACATCACAACAATGCGGCGTTGCTCCTGAACAAAGAGTGTCTGTCTTTAAAAAAGGGTGGTATATTCAAGAAAACGGTCTGTCTGAATATCATAAAGTTCGTAGCCGACCCACGGCATCCTGACGCTCAAAACGTCCCCAAATCCATAAAATGCATACATAAATCATCATGAGAAAAATGGGAGAGGACTGTGTCGGCGGGCTGCCTCAATATCGAGCTGGAGGCGGACCCGGCGGCGGTGGGATGGGAGAAGAAACGTACGGGGGATAAAGAGGTGGTGAAGCAGCGTGCGTGGGGGGATACGGGGCTTGAGGAGGAAGATGACCGGTGCTGTAAGGGTTATCGTCGAGATAGGTGGGCCAACCGGCTCCAGAGCCATAGCCGGTGTCGTTTGTGTTTGCATGAGATGACGACAAGGTCGGCGCACTGCCGGTATACCGATGCTGCATGCCCATGGATTGCATTTTCATTCTCCTTGCCTCCCGTTTCTGGCGATGCCGTTCCTGTTTCTGCTTGAGCTCCAAGGCCTTCTGCCCCTTCTCCTTCATGTCCTTCCACTCGCTCACGGCGCCCTTGACGCCCAACGCCGCAATACTGATACTAACTGCATCTTGCAATCTGGTTTTGTTTTTTTCTCTGCGGGCTTGTGCGGGCGAGATGTCGCCCTTGGCCAGGGCTTCGTGTCGCTCGTCTCGCTTCTCCATGCTGGTGTAGACGTTGTGGGCAGCATGGATTGTGGCGACGCTGGCCAGTCCAGCCGTGATCAGCTGGCTAGCCCGCGCCTTTCTCCGCGCGCGTTCATCTTCGGAACTGTCTCCGAGGTCAGAATCACTGTCTGTCTCTGGATCGCCAAAGCGATGGGGACCAAGATCAACATCGCCTGGGGTTCGGTGTACCATGGCACCATTGTTATGACTATGATTCTCACCGGACCGGGGTTGACCTACTTCTCTTGGATCCGAGTACCCACCTCCTCCTCCATATGGTGGCGGTGCACCATTGCGGCTTGCACGATGATAGTAGTCATCATCGCTGAATGTTGATGAGCGATGCTTGTCCCTACCGTTGAGCTTGTCCGCTGCTTCTCCTAGACCAAGCGCGGCCAGTCCCTTGCTTGCATAAGCCGAGATACTGCTGCTTCGCTTCTTCTTGTCACGTCTGCGACGAGGGCTGCGGCTATCATAGCTGTCGTACGACGAGCTGCTAGAGCGACGACCACGAGACTTTGAGCGGAATCTGTCATAAATTGACTTCCCAGCGGCAGTGACCAGCCCCGCTGAAGCTAAATCTTTCAAGCCGCCACGGCTTTCACTGCGGGCTCGGCCACGATGGCCTCGGCCTCTAGAGCGGGAGCGGGAGCGAGATCCATTGACAAGACGATTGGTGGCAAGACCTGCGAGAGCGGAGCCTAGAACATTTCTTGTTCCATGTTTGTTAGGATCACGATCGATCAGCTTGTCGACACCACCAGCGCTGATCGCAGCAGTGAGGACCCGTTTGCCCTTGTCACCTCCCCAGCCTCCAGGCTGCTTGCGTGAGCGAAAAGCTTCTGCAGCACCTGCGGTGACAGCAGCCTTCAAGGCTTGGGCAATCTCTTCTTTATTTCTTGGCATGCCGCCGCTCCGCTTGGAACGAGAGCGAGAGGAAGAGGAAGAGGATCGGTCTCGGTGACGACGACTTCGACTATGATCCCTCGCCTTGCCTGTCGCTGCAGCTGCAGCTGCAACGCCTCCAAGACCCAGAGCTGCAAGTGCTTGCTCGCCCATGGATTTGCGACGTCTTGGTGGAGAGCGGCTCGTGGACGAGTCGGAGTACGAGTCACGGCGGCGAGGACGACCTGCTCCAATCAGATACTGTGGAAAGAAAAGGGCCAAGGAATCACTAACGTTTATCATCATAGCCTTTGCTGCCACGCTTGGATGATGCATAGTCGTCATGGTGAAATGAGCGGTCATCATATGGATCGTCATATTTATCACGCCCACCGTCAGACCGAGCTCTTCTTCCCTCACGCGCAGCGGATTTTCGTGGATAGCCAGCAGCTGGAGGGAAATCTCGCCGGAGCTCTTCAACGGAAGAGAAGCTGTCGTTGCGCGGCCTTCTTACTAAGCTGGTATCTCGGGCTCCACCACCGCTCTTATAGTATGGATCCGCATCGTAGTCATCGCGCGTTCGTCGCTCTCGGGTCGACCGGTGTCGACGGGGACGCTCGTCATCGTAGTAGGACATTGTTGTGTCCTCAATGGATCAAGGATCAGGCGAATCCGAACTGAAATAATAATGTGCTTGCGACCAGGCTGATGACCGGAATCGCGGGAGTGAGATAAAAGTCGTAGTACTAAATTCTCCAAGCGCAGCAGTGAACTTGCAGGTTGAAGAATGATTAATGATGATAGAGTAGAGAGGAAGAAAGGGCGGGGCTCGAGGCTTGGGAATACGGATGCGGGTCGAAAGCCAAAGTTCGAGTTAGGTGGCGGTCTGGCTGGGCAACTTGGCGATTGAGGCTCGAGCCGGCAAATCAGAGCCTAGTTGAAGGCTATGTACAGGATATTCTAGCAGATTGAATGATAACGTCAATTGTACTGCGCCCGAGAGGATAGAGGAGGTCTTTCTGCGTCAGGCGAAGAACTGGCACGATGGCGAAAGGGAGGTGTGTGTGTGGTTGGAGGGGAGAGCAAGTTAGTTAGAGTTGGGCTGTGCAATGTCAAATGTGTGTGCGGTTGCCCATGTGTGTGGTGGGGCGGTGCCGGGCAAATTGTGGCTGGGTTGTGGCTGAAATCTGCGACTCGAAGTGGAACGGGCAACGTCAGCCTTGCACACTGAAGCTGAAAAAGAGCGGATGAAATGTGTATCTACAGGCGCATGCCTCGGTTCGAAACCTGCAGACTTCTCGAATCGTGTGCGACGTAAAATATGTGCATTTTGCATTTGCATTTGCATTGCTCTACATGAACGTGATGGGTCGAGAGGTCGAGAGGTTGGACACTGGACAGGATGGCATGCGTCGAAAATAGGGACCAGAAAGAGAGTTTGCAGAACTGAATGTCAAGCTTAGAAAGACCCTTTGCACTTGGCAGGAACAGTGATGATCCAAGGGTAACAATCCATTTACGAGCATATCACGAACCTGCTTCTGCAGGCCGAAAGAGGATGTTGGATCCTTACTAGCATCTCGAAAAGACATATCTGTCCGTACATGGTTATCTACTGCATGGATTACCAGGCGCAGAACTGACCGCAACCCCAAACAATATCACATTTGGACTATATGGTGCAGTAACATGTAGGAAAAGTAAAAGCAACACCAGATCATAGCACATAGCCACGTGCAAGACATGGTGTGTACCTGGACTTCTAATTATTCTCCTGAAAGTCCCTTCAGAGTGATAAAGATGTATCCAAACGACCTGAGGCACAGAGTAGCCAGCGCACGATGCATTATCCCAGCACTATATAAATTGGACAAGTGGAACGAAACAAAAGCCATGGCTGCCATTGATATTGACTCTTGAGGGGCAAGAAAGATGGTAGCTCTTTCTCGGGTCCATACTGCTATTTTCACAATTTGTAAGACTCTGCAATCTGCATGCTACTGGATGAGGGCACCAGCATAACTAGCGGACCATGCCACAACCTCTGACCACCACAATGAGAGGCAAGGCCACTATAGCAAAGCAAGATAATTCAACTACCACATACGACCATATCAATTCGGCTAAGCGAGCTCAAGTGTGTGCCTGTATGGGTCGTTTATTGTTTTTACTGTGCTCCGAAGGACTAATTCTGTCCTGATTTGGTAATGAGCTGGTAACAACCAATCTCAGCAGGCAAAGAAAATAAGTTGACTTTTTGTCCTTGTCCTCTACGAGAATTGAGAACCGTGGTGCTGGGGCTGTTGGATAGAAGTGCCAAGGATCAGGAACGAGCATTACTAACTCAATCTGGCATCCCGGAGCCTGGCGAACATACTTTTACGTAGTACATGACCTTCGCTTGGTGTGCTCCACGATTGGACGGAAGCCTAACCGTTATCTCAAACAGAGGCGGAAGAGAACAAGCCAGACATGCAGGGCTGGGTGGAGCACGGGTGATGAGTTGAGACCCTGATCGGGGAATCGCGTGGGATCGCATTTAGACTGCTCATTTAGGCAGGATAGCTTCCACCATATCTAGGCGCAGGCTGGTGGCTTGCTTTAATACGGTTCCTGCCCAGAGTCAGGGCCGTTAACCCCACGCTGAGCGAGACGGTGATGTCAATGCTGATACTTTTGCAATTTCATGTCCATCTTCCGGACCACCATTACAATGGCATCATAGGACCAAGTCATCCCTACTAGCAATTAGGAATATTGCTGCTGGCTCTGAGGAGGGAACGGAGGCGTGTTCTGCAAATCCTCCCTCGAGCCCTTTCCACCCCGAACCAGATTCAATGATGGCATTTATGAGAGTACGCGGCAGCACAAGCCAGCCTATCACTTTTTTGTTGAAAGTGGAAGACCCTGCTTCGCATCGTGACAGAAAACGTTTAGTCCCTTCCCGGCCAGTTAGCTGGGAACTTTGGGGAGTTGATTGACCCTTTACCCGTTAGCTGGGCCCAAGGGTCATGGAAACACGCTCTGACGCAAGAGGCAAACTTTGATTTGTGGGAGACCACAACCGATCATTTTGGAAGATCCCACCGACCAGGGTTCATGCCCTTTTCATCTGGGCAGCCACGGGCGGATGTCTCGGAGGGTGAGGAGATTAAAAATCTGCTTACTATGTAGTATTAACTGAATGGTAAGCGAGATGCCAACAATTAGTACGGAGGAGATGGTTGCGGGTAGGGATACAATCCGTCTCTTTCACTTAATGAAACACTTTACGGGAACTACTTTTGCTGTATTGGGACGCACGAGAAAGACCCTGAATAATGGGATTATAGAGTACATGCCTGAAGTAGTAAGACGTCAATAACAGTTCCAACCGAGTCCCAAGGGTGTGGCTCGAGAGGGTTCAACCGTGGGATGGGCATGGGGCGATAGGGCATTGCATCTGCAAGCCGCCGACAAGGGTACAGAAAAGCTGCTGCGATTTGGTGCTTGATTTAGCCTTTGAAGATTGATCCACAGTGATGAATCTTTGGCGGATTTTCCAGGCTGAAGCTGGCGGCACAAGCGATGCCATTTCAAGTTTCCCATAGATATCGTCGAAGCACAGACCCGGTCTGTTACACCCAAAAGCATAAGGCTCTGGCGGGCCCAGTCCTGGTCATGATCAGTGATTCTCCATAGATGTGAATACCTCTCGTCCCGTCATTTGCATCTGCTCTCCATCCATAGGCCTTTTACATACTTGACCGGCAGGGCAGTCTGTGTCGCTCATGCCAGAATATTGAGTCGATGATTCAGCTCGCTTAACCCCAACTTGGAGGCCGGACAGCGCCCGCGAGAATCAAACAATGGATGCTGTCAGACCTCGAGAACGTCTTATTTCGATCCTGAACGACAACGACTCTCCATCGTTCGCCGTCAGGCCGAAACAATTCTTACCCTCCGATCTACATCTTCCAAAGCAAGAGCGGCCGACTCTTGCTCGCCTAGTAGACTACTGCTATCCGCGGTATTCGAGTACCCCAGTCCCTTCCACCCCGCCCCTATCGAGACTGAATTCAACGTCCTCCAAAGCTTCGAGCAGCACCATGGACTCTCCTTCACCGAAAACACCAATCTACAACTATGATCCTCAGCTCATCAACCCGTATGATCCTGTCTTGCGCCAAGATGTTTCCAGCTATCTTCCATCACCATCTACTATCACACCCCTGATGGACACCATGATGGTTGTTGCACCTACACAGGAGCAGATGCTTGCCTTCCCAACCAAGCAGACGGACAATGGCATGCCTTCAAATTATGCCGGTCTTCCTATCTCCCCAATAGACGGACAACAGGTTCCGACGCCATCCTCCTCCTCGAAATCCAATTCACATCTTCAAGCCTCCGACGCCGCAGTGAATGCGCCTACCAAGAAGAACAAATATCCTTGTCCATACGCCTCCTCACACCACTGTACTGCCACTTTTACTACATCCGGACATGCGGCTCGTCATGGCAAGAAGCACACAGGAGAGAAAGGTGTCCACTGCCCAGTCTGTAACAAAGCATTTACACGAAAGGACAACATGAAGCAGCACGAGAGGACGCACAAGGGTTCTGCATCGGGCAGCAACTCGGATGACACGAACCACAAGCGTAGCAAAGCTGCCATTACGAAAGAAGCGGCTAGGGCAAAGAAGACCAATGTCGAGATCAACCAGCAATCTAATACCGCCGGCTTGATCCACAGTCCACTCAGCGAAGTGGCTTCGATAGACCCAAGTGTGATTGGTACGCCTTCGCTTGCAGACAGTCACGGCCATTTCAACGATGTCACCATGGCTGCACATCCTGAAGCCACACAGAACGTCTCTGCTTATCCACCCCTTGGCGATGAACAGTCGTTCAGCACCCTCTCGCAGTTGGATAGAAATGCTGGTACCTCTCTTACCAACACACAAGCGCCCATGCAAAGAGCATACTCAGACCTCGACACACTTGCATTGGCAGCTGCTTACGACCCATACTCTCAAGGCAATGTACAGTGATTGAAACACTGTAATACGGAGGATTTACTGGCGTTCTTCAGTCGCGTCACAAGTATCAAGGGGTTTCGGGAAGAAACCAACGGGCCTTGATGCATCTGGTGGCGAGCAACGACTTTTACGTGTAATGTTTGTACTCGAAAGATACCCAGTGGTTCGGAAATAGCTTGGTTGGTATTGCAACGGAGTACAGCGGCAGGCTCCGTCGCGGTGCAACTTAGTAATACAACACCAATTTTTTATGCCATTCCCGCAATTCAAATTCCACAATCCAGTGATAAGTTCAATAGATCCCGCAAGTGGATTTTTATTCCCTTGGTTTTCCGCAATTACGTTGTACTACGTAGTATGTATTCAATGGTATATTATTAGTAACTATCTAGGACGAAAGACCTCGTCGCCAAGATTTCCGCTAGCTCCCGTTTACTAACTGCATAGCAACCTACGATCATTTGTTTACGTTGAAGATCAGCGCAAGAACCATCATCAAGACTATTTTACCGAAGCTCCTCCAAACCGATTCCCCGTAGAGAAAAACTGATCAGAACATTTGAAAAAATCGAACTGATAAGATGGCTGTCGCCAATGCCTCACTCGCGCCCTCAAATCCCTTCTCTGCTTCCGCGTCCTCACGCGCTGCTGTTCCCATGTCTCCGCAGCCCAATCCTCTCACTCAACTGCCGAATGTCGATTTCAATTTCGAAGACTTACGGCAGCGCATGTCAGCGTTCACCGTCAAGTTCGATGCGTTCATCGAGCGCGGTCGCAAGCGCGTCCTAGAGGAACGAAATGAGTTTCGTGAACGATTGGGAGAGCTTACTGGCATGTTGACCCCTAGTCCTGTGCATATTTGTATTCCACAAGGTTCACGATGTTGGGCGACTGACTCTCTGCCTGTCTACAGAGGACCAGCGCCTCAAATCACAGTCCATCGCCACCCTTTCCTCCGCAACAACCACTCACCGCTCCCTCCTTGCGCGAGAACAGTCCGAGAAAGAAGAGATGAATACCGCTATTCGCTCGCTGGAAAACACTCATGCCACGCACTGCAAGACTCGCGACCGATTGAAATCGCAGATCGCGCAGACGCAGCGGCAGATCGACTCAAAGCTCCAGGCTCAACGCGACTATAATGCCAAGCTCGAGTCGCAAAGCAGGTTGAATGGGCCTGAACTGGCCTTTTGGGAAACGTATCTCGGGGTCCGGTTGGAGGGTGCCGGCGTTCTGGATCGCATCAAGGTTGTTTTTACGCTTGAGGGCGGGAGGGGTGGAGGGAATGGTGCAGGGGCGGGGGATCGGGAGGTTTGGTTTGAGTTGGATCTGAGCCAGAGGGATTATGAGGTTAGGGGTATGGGAGGAGCGGTCGAGATGAAGGACATGCGGGGGGTGGAGAAGGTGCTGGATAAGTTGAATGAATCGAGAGATATTGGGCAGTTTCTGGCGGGGATGAGAGGGTTGGTTGTGGAGAAGATGAAGGCTTAGGGTTGGGAGGGAAGCACTTTGCAATGAACAGTAAGTTTGCCTTGGGTGTTTCTCATGCTTAAGAGCTGCACAAGCACAATATCTGAAGTATTCTCTTTGTGAACGTGTACAACTGTGATGATACCTACTTGTCACTTCTTCGTTTCTTTGATGCCCACCATTTGCCTATATTTTGCTGGGCTGAATTTGAGTGCAACTATGGAGCAGAACCTGCCATTCCTTAATTGATGCGTTGTTCGACAGAATCCTTGGTAGGGACATCCAACTGCGTTGAAGCAGGGAAACCCGACCCAGAGCTCGTCCAGATTAAGCTGATTGGCTCGTGAGGCCGTTTTAAGCTAGTCAGTCAAAGCTTGTGGCTTTCCAGCGCCCTACAAGGATGCATATCGGTCTCATGTAATATGCAATCTCTGTGGCTCTTTGATTCGCGAATCTAACAACAGAGAAGTCCATTACTATTAGTACTGCACTAAATGCCTAAAGGGGATCTCGATATCTATCTCAAATATCCGAGGATAACCAGGCAATGCTGGGACTACGAGCATGAGCTCCGTGCTCAAGTAATCATGAAGGGCGATGTCATTCCTTTCTTTGGAGACTGGCAAGGTACTGACATGACACCTCCTCAAGACGAAGGCCGGTAAGTATCATGCGTTGGACCCAGTTACTAGAGCCAACCTGTTCGCTGACTTACCCTGGAGACTGCTACAAGACTGCTCTAAATTATGTGAAGAGCGTTAAGAGATTGGGACACATCGGGTTTTTCTGGGCAATGGCCTACTTGAATGGGAGAGCCAGCAGAGTATCGGACTTGGAACATTATCATCCATCATTCACTGCATGCAGAACTGTATTTTCTGCGAGCTTCGCACAAGGGGATCAAGGCCCAATTTCCAGAACTGTTGGATGGGAATATGAATTATGTCTTATGCAGATGCACGCACGGCCGAAGAGAGCTTGTGGGTAAGGATGATACTAGCGGCAGTCTCAAGAATACTCTACATTGCCCTAGGTTCACCTGATGGACGCCGCAACCTCATGATCAGTCGACTAGGTGGAGAGTTTCCTCACCTCTTGACGGGAAGAATTGTACAAGCTGAAAGAGCGGAGCTGACCCTGGTGCGCCAGTGGTTGCATGTTTGTGAAGAGCATCATTCCGCCTGCAAGAGCAACTGGGAGCCGGTGACTACACCAGGCATTCCAACTTCGAATCTTGAATGTTGAAAAGATTGCATCGAGGCGGCACCGAAATGGTCCAAATATATGACACTGAGCTATTTCTGGGGTCAAAACAATTTTTGAGGGCCTCTAGAGACAATCAAGCAACCCAAATATTTCCGAGCTCTAATCCACTGGTACAAGTCTGATAAGACCGGGTCTTTTGCGCCGGTTGCAACAAAAAAAGGGACGGAATCTGAAGAACTGGGGCTGTCTAGGATGTTTTCAAGAGACTGGACTATCGTCCACTCGTCGCGAGTTTTTGGTGATGGCGCGCCCACTGTTTACGATACCCAGTTGCTCCAAAGACGCCCAGGCGATCTGCCACTGCTCTGCTGCCGCACGCTTGCAACAAAAGCGGGTCACTTCCGATTCGAATACATTGGCGATGAGCTTCTCTTCAACATGAAGACAAAGACGGGTCACTCATTGGCACAAAACCCTTCTAAATGCACAAGACTGCGATCTGGTCAGTCCTTCCGAGTCCTTGTTCTTCCTGTTTGACGACCATCGCCAAAAGCGTCTCGAGTATGAAGATGAAAAAACTGAGATCCTCGATTACCAGTAAATGCAGATGAAGTATTGTGTCTTTCTGCTGGTGGAGCAGGAAGATAAGATTTCTTACAGGCGCCGGCTTGGAGCCATGATCAAGGCCGCCTTCAAGGCAGCTGGACCGATTTTTCAATAGATTGGTTTGGGTTGAGGATCTACATGGCTTGGCTGTGGCAGAGGATCGCTTTTGGCTGGTAGAGAGTGGGTTACAAGAGTGAGGGAGTTATGAGATTAGGGTGGCTTGTATGTTATGCACGTACAAAAGTAAGGTTTGCCAATACTATGAACACCGGCAGCATATACAGATATGTTTCTTCCCAGTCGCCTACTATGGCAGATAAGCAAAGACGTTCTGTTTTACTTTCATGGACATGACTCGGTGTGTCTCTACTATACCTTGTGGATTGCAGGATTTGCCTGGCGACGATAGATAACAACACGAGGTCTAGGTTTCAGGATAATCTGGATGCAGAGAATAGGTGTTTGGGAGAAACGAATATTTGGCATGAGCGGCATCGCCGCACACAGCCATGCCCTGAGGTGGATCCATGCTTTCCATGTTCTCCGCTGGATACATTCTTACCTTTGCAGAGACACAAAGTATCCACAGACAGAGCGAATCCGGGCAGCATCGTCCTTTAGGCGGCGGTTGGCGATTTGGACTGGGACCTCCTTCACGGGCGGTTAGTGTGTACTCTAGGTTCTGTAGGTACCAAATAGATTATTTTGACTCGGGTCAATCGTTCCTGCCTAGACTTGTAGGGCAGCAGTGTAGGCCTCGGCGAGTATTTCAAAGCGATAAGTCGTCGTTGTTGTCGTTGACGTTGTTGTTGCAGTATTGCAGCTCAGCAATAGCACACCTTCATCTTCGCCACCAGAAATCCCACTCTCTTACCAAAACCACACGCAGTAGATCTGATTTCTTTATGGATTGATGTCATGGGCTCCTTACCTGCCACGGTGAACAGTGGAATTCAAACACTTTCTCCGCTCCCCCTCGTGGTTAAGCTCCGTCCAGGCTCAATATTTGTAGCCTCCGCTGTGTTCATACTCAGTCCGGTATCAATAACTCTGTCACCTTAATTCCGGAAACTTCTTCACAACAGTAAACACATCTGCATAGGGGAAGCCAACGTGAGCTAAGGGCCATAACAATTCAGCACCTGCACAAAACAGCGCTCACGTTTTTCTAGCTTTACCTTCACTTTCACCCACAACTCTACCTAAACCACGTTTACCATACCTTTCTTTGCCCTACAAAATCTTCGACCAAGCTCATCAAGGTTTACTTACCTTGCTTAGCTTGGTTTTCTGAGTCCAACGAATCTGTGCTGTCTGTCCTCGTGGACAGTTGCACCTGGTAAGTTGATCGGGTCTGCCAGCTAGCATACCTTTCGCTGAATCCTTTCCACAGCGCCGCTTCCTCTGAATCCATCTCTAATCTCATCCCACTAATGTCAAAGTGAACAACTTCGCGTCCTCACTCGAGCTTCGGCTCAAAAAATCACCATAAACTTGTCATACCATGTCATTAGCTGCTTCCAGAGCTGATGCTCACATCCAGGCAAATCGGGATCTTGACCCTATCATGTCGAGATCTTCGGCCGAAGATGGTGAGCAGCGTGAAATAGATGAAGAGCATCTGTTAGCTCAGAGCAACATGCAAATGGTAAGCACGTTTCCCACTTTGACTGGTCAGGCCGGATTTTGGCTCTCTGCATTTTTTCGCGCAGTTATTACTGCCAACAGTAGGACTGATCAACGCGCAGCTGGATTTGGGCACTGGGAGACGAGAACATGTGACCACATTTGACTACATGTTGCCAAGTGAGCTTCGTGTATCCACACAACAGTTATTGCGAGCACGGAAAGTCGAGGAGGAAGGAACAGAGGCTGCCAAGTTGTTCCAGGAGAATAAATCGAAGGTTAACGCTTGGAACAGTGAGTCTCACTCGGTATTGCGCCATCAAAGCTGACCCCGAAACAGGCATCAGTACCCAGATTGCTCAGGATAATGCAGACCGGGAGCAGCTGGACAACCTGATGAATGGCCAATCGCACAGAGCTAGGCTGAACAAGGAGATCAAGGAGCAAGGAGGACAAACTTATGGTGAGGTATCAAATGTTCGAATCGATGATTATCCGCGCCGTGGAAAGGGCGGCGGAGCGGGAGGTCGAGGTATGTCGGGGAGGGGTGGTCGCGGTGCACCTATGCAGTAAGCAAATGGTCTCCTCTGCATTGCTTTTTCATGCTAAACTTCAACAGTGTCCCTGTCACAAGAACGAATGGAAGAGTCTTGGCAACTGCGTCGCCATCTGTGCCCAATGGTCCAAAGGCTGATCGTCCACTCGACCCTGCAATCGACCCGGACCGAGAGTACTCGTACAAGACCAAGAAGGGCGGCAAAACAATCTCTGTGTCTTACAATGGCGGACAAGCTGTTCGGGGGGGCCCAACTGTTGGTAGTGGAAGGACCGCAAATGATGCTCGAGCAACCATGGTTGGCGGTACCGTGCATATTGGTCCAGCTGCACAAACAAAAGCAAAGTCTGAGCATTCCGAGGCGCCTCGTGCCCCAAGGGAGTACGAGATCTCATCTGTTTTTCATGGGGCGCTGGCTAATGACGTACAGGACACCAGTGACTGTCGTGCTCAACAATGAAGCTTTTCTGGAGGTGATGAACAGCATGACTGCCAAGCCCACATTCAATCAGCATGTCCAGGAGAAGTCGAAGCCAGCGCCAAATTCAAAGGCTGCGGCCCTCGTTGAACAGCCAGGCAAGACCACGAAGAGACGAGCTGCAGCCACGAAAAAGTCTGACTCTTTCTTGGCAAGATCAATAGAGACCCCAGCTGAAGCATACAGGACCTTGGAAGCTTGCAATAAACTTTGCAAAACAGATGCGACTATACGCCTGGCACCAACTTGTGAATTTGGATATCCGCCTCCGAACACAGAATTCGGTGGGGAAAAGGTCCCAGGCGACAGTGCTTCTGTCCATACGGACGGTGTTGAGACCGTCAGCACGTACAACAGCGCAGATTTCAAGACTCAGTCCTCGGCGGGGACTGGCTCCAGATTCGACCAAGGTCATGGCACCATCGTCATTGGTGGAAAGTTAGCACAAAAGGATTCGAGTGCGACATCTGAAGCGGCATCTGGAAGCAACGGTCCTGGAATCCGTCTTCTACCACCATCCTCTCATACGGAGTCACACCAGAAAGACGATCTCATTACACTTGAGGATGGCATTGGACAATCTTCGCCAGACGTCAAAACCTCCAGCAACCATGCTCTTTCAGCATCGTATGCAAAATCTTTGCAGTCACCTAGTATTCCTCACATCATGGACGAAGAGCTGGACGATGACATTCCGCAATCCTCTTTGACTCCAAGATCATCTATTGCGCCGCGATTCATCACCTTCCGTGGTGCACGCTATATTCGTTATGATCAGATAACAAGTCAAGATGCCGAAGACAGCCAAGTAGGGATTCACTCAGAAGGCAGTTGCCCACAAAACACTCAGCCCACTGTGCAAGCCGCCTCGTTCAGTTCCAGCACAAACAACAGAATTGCAGTGACCAACGGACTGAATATTGGCTTGCAGACTCTCCAGGAGAGTTCTGCTGGTAGTATTCTTGGTGAATACAATCTGCCAGGTCGTTCTATTGTTAGCACTGGACCCTCCTCACAGGCCTCGGTTGCATCATCAAGATGGGCAAACGGAATGAACGGATTCCCGCTTGCAAGTGCCAGCTTCCCTACGCCATCATTGCCGCAGACCTGCCTTAGTCCTGTACCTTCTCGACAAGCTAATCAGCACAATGAACCCCTCCAGAAATCGCAGACAGATGATACGGAGATAGCTGCTGCGCCGAGAAAATCCACGGTACAGCAGAAAGTTGCATCTCTTCCCAACTTAGCAGCGTCCAAATATGCAATACAGGGGGTACAGGTTGCCACCCGTCCACCACCGGTCGAGTCACCGACTTTTCACAAGTCTACAAAAACAGCTTCCGTGGATCAGCCTGACAGAAGCCAAAATGCTTTCAGAACAGCATCTCCAACAGCTTCTGTGGGTCGGCGAGGCGAAGACAAAGGTGCTTTCGATACAACACTTCAGGTTTTTCCAGAGAGTCTTGTGCCAGCTTCGCGGCGTGCCGATTACATTCCAAACATGCATTCCAACGCTTCATCAAAGACTGAAAGCTCTCCAACTGACAGAAACCGCCAAACCACCGAAAATGGGACAGCGTCGACACCAAAACCTCCCCGCAAGCAGACAGATCTCACTGCTTCCATTTGGTCCACTGCAAACAGCGAGATTGACCCCTTAGTGCCGTCGAGCAAGACTTTTGAGAACCAGGTTAGACAATCCCGATTCAACTTGACCTCTGACAACGTCGACAGCAGAGAGGAAACAACTGTCGTGTCAGATAACGGAGCGCAGCGCAAACGCAATCCTTTTGGCGCAACCACACAATCATCCAAGCCCACCCTGGCCGAGAATAAGAAGCTGGCTTCGGCGGTTCCGGTTCAGCCTCATGATGGGCCTGTGATGGTTGAACGTTCAGGCAACATTCCGGATACAAACCATACTGCAATGACATTGCAGAATCTCATTGAGGGGACAAAAGCCAATGCGAAAGCTCAGTCATCCACGTTCGACTTTTCCAAGTCAGCAGGTTCCAAATATCCCAACACTATCCAATCGAGCTCGGCAAATGGGACGAAGCAAAGCCAATCCGGCGCATCAGGTCTTCCCCTAAGCAAGGCGAAACCGACAAATGGTCTGATGGCATCTAAGTATGCCACTAGCAACAGTTCTACCTCATCCTTACGCAAGGTGCGTCGTGCCAAGTTAGATGATTCGAGCAGCCATGAGTCTGAAATCTAGACAGGTCAGATGAAAGACATGAAAGCTAGTCCGCTTCATCAGAACGCAGGGGTCACCCTTGGCTTCATACTTTTCTGCTGGTGGTGTAGGATCTCGCTTAAAGGTGGGAAGTGGTTGGGAGTGAGGTCCACAGGGTGATGGAACTTGGGAGACCAGAAAAAGCTTGTTTGTGTGCCACCAATCAATCACCGAGAGAACAGCAACAGACCCACTCGGATTTTGAGCCTTGTGAAGAGTTCGAAAGAGCGACTTGGGGATTGTTTACAAAGAAATGCCAAAGAGCTTTCGCCCACAGTAGCTACGTCTGAGTCAAAGTAGCTTTAGGAGTAGATAGTCAATGCAGGACGGTTTCTACTGACTCTGCAACCGTGACACCATCCTGAAATGCGGGCTAGAAGTGCAGCCATGGAAAAGATGGTGATTTTTTATATCTGCTCTCATTACAACTGCAGGTGGTGAATATGACCAAGGGTGAATTCATTTTTCGTGCCTTTTCTGTTCTGCTATCCTTCCGCTAAGCTACGCTCTGTTCTAGCATCCTATGCTATGCCATGCTGATCTCCGCCCCGGCAAAATGACCCACCCGCTGACTCGCTCCATGCCCCGTAACCATATCTAGTTCTTTTCTCCCTGTCGCTATGCATCTCATCTCATCTCATCTATGCTATGCTAGGCCTCTGAGCTTCATAACGGGCATGCGCACGCGCCAGCGAGCTAGACGAACCACTCTCGCATCGCTGGTTTAATTATCTGGCTAAGCCTATGTGCGTGTGAAAACCGCCCTCCATCTCTCTCTGCGCGATAGAAGGACATGCCCTCCCTTCCGTGGGACGGACCACTTGAGCCAGCTACCGACGCGACACGGTACGAAAACCTATTCGAACCGTTTTACCCGCGCCATCACATCGGCCGAAGCCATTTGCAAGTGTCATTCATTCAGATCGAGCTCAGCCCATGGCGGCCCGGATCCTCTGCACCAACTCCGCCCCGCTCCCTTCAGCCTTCCTTCCATTCGCTGCAGCGGCAGCGGCAGCAGCAGCATCGACCCGCTGCCTGACAACACCCAACGTCCATTCCTGATCGCGATGCCGCAGCATACGGAGACGGCGCGTGTATTCCTGTAATGCTGCCGCCTCGGTTGGGTTGCTGGATTGGAGGTTCTGCAGGCCCGTGCTTAGGAGGTAGCGTTGGATTCTCTGTGGGTCGTTCTCGATGGTGTCTGGGGTGGCAGGTTGAGGCTGTGGTTGAGGTTGAGATTGTTGGAGTTGGGTGGAAGTGGTGTTGGAGGCGCGTTGTTGAGAAGGTCGTGCTGCGGAGAGAAGGCTAGATAACGCTTCAGCAATAGCGTCACCACCAATAGATGCGGAGTTATTAGGCTCTGCTTCGTCTTCGTCTTCGTCTTCGTCCTCGTCCTCGTCTTCATCTTCATCTTCGACGGTTGGGGCAGGCGGGGGAGCTCTGAAGCCTGGCATCCGTTGTGGGGGCGGCGAGCGACTCGTTGGTCTGGGCCTCGGCCTGTGCTGATCAGGCGGAAGTGGGGCATTGACATCAGCATCTCCAGACATTGCTGCTTCTCGATCAGGGACGGTCGCCAGTCTTGCGCCTGCGGGATCACGGACTTGGACCGGTTCGGGAAGTCTGGCGTCGAAAAATGAGGAGGATCGTTCTTCGTCGCGGTAGTTGCGCATTGCATCGGGCCGGATGATGCGGTTCGTGGTTGGAGGAAGGTGCTCGCGAGGGGAGAATCCAGAGGGTTGTGCTCTTGCTGGAGCTGGAGCTTGTGGTTCTTCTGGTTCTGACTCTGACTGTGAAGTCGGATCCAAGTCGTCGGCAAGGGCGGCGAGGATGGCTGTTCGGTCTGCTTCGCTGAGGTTGGCGTGTGTTAGGGTGGTATTGAAGAGGTCGCGATTATTTATTTCGTGCTCTTCTTCGCGTGTAGCTGGATTGCTGCTTTCAGCGGCAGTACCTACTGTCCCGCCACCACGAAAGCCTCTTGCAGCTGCGGTCATGAGTTCGGCTAGATAGCCCAAGAATCCATGTTGTCCTGGCCCGTCGGCGGTTGCGGGTGCACGGGCGGTCAAGCCAGCGTCTCCGATTGAAGGTGGTGGAGGAAGGACATCATATTGAGCTGTTGGTAGATTGCGGAAGTTGCGTGGGATCAGCGCGATAAGGGCAGGTATGTCAAGAAGCATAGCATGTCTAGCATCTTCCAATGAGATTTCTAATTTTGGAGTAGGAGGTGCGTTTGTCCAGGATTGTGAATAGCTGCCTAGAGTTTCGGCTACTTCGACGAGAAGGGCTGTGGTTTCTGGCGTCGACCAGAGATCCTTCGCTCGGGTGACGTAGAGTTCGGTGAAGAATTTTTCTGCATCAGTGGAAGGGGCTTTACCCCAGAGAGATTTTGGTAGTGGGGATATGTCGAGAGTCGAGCACAGGTGGGAAAGTATATAAGGATATCGGTGCATAGCCAACGCGAGCTTCTGTCGGGCTAGTTTGGGCTGCGAAGCGCGATGGTATGCAAGGGCTATGGAGATTTGCATGTTCGGAAGATGTGACCAGATCCTGCCAAAAACATCTTCTGAGCACAAGCCGATCAAGGCATCATGCTGACGTCCTCTGAGTGCGTACTGGTCCAGGGTATGTGTAATGCCATAGGGATCAGAGGTGAAGTCGAAGCTCAGGAGCATTTTACTCCACTCAAAAGCTGTTCGCCATGTGCCTCGCATCTCCAAGTTTTGAAGATACCGCCAGATGGCCAGGTATAGCTCTCTGTTAGCCGGTTGTTTGAACGGAACCCGAGCGCGTCCTTCTCGGATCGAAACACCAAAGGCCGAGTGCACAGAGCGACCAAATGTGAACAAGGCCCGCTCCAGTAGATCGCCGCTCACAGAATGATCACCCTGGTGTTTGGCAATCTCTGAAACCTGTAAGAGGGTGGCGATGTGGTACGGGTTGTAAATGAGGTGATGAATCATCGCATCGGGAGACATTGACTCGACAATCTGCCTGAATTGTCGTTGGGTATCTTGGTAGGTGGAAATATGAGAAATCCCATAATACCGACCATATGAGCCTGTAGAGTCTGGGACCAGGTCCATCACCAGACCTCCACTCGTGGCCAACGGCCAGTTTTCCTGTCCTTGTATGAAGATATTTCGCCGTTTTGCAAGACTGCCTAGCTCCTTGCCATGACTGACCGGGCTGTGTTTACCAGTCAGTGCTGATTCAAGCCCCATCCGCCCTTCATCATCGGGGTTTTCCTGATTACGATTCGGCCTCTCGAGTGCGATACTGCCAAACAGGCTCTTCATCTCGTTTGTAGGGTTCAGATGTTTGGAGTCCACCGCCAGCATGTTGCTGACGTCCTTCTCCCACGAAGATTCCGCATCTTGTGCCTGTAGTGTTTCACTCCTATCGTGCTGCGCTGCAGCCTGGTTCTTCCGCATGTTAAGCTCCTGTAGTGCACGGTCAATCTCATCCACCTCGTCTGTCTTGTTCCTCGGGATTTCAGCCTCGCCCGTTGTGATGGTGGAAGAATCTCGCTCTTTGCCCTTGTCCTTTGGCTTTCTTTTCTTCTTCCTCTTCGGCTTGGTAGATTGCGGTGTCGAATGGTCAGATACATTGTACACTTCCGGGGGTAGGGTTTCTTTCTCCGCTGGGGATAGAGGGACATTATCATCGTCCTTGGTTTCGTCTAGGTCTTCATCTTCCAGCATCTGAAAGGCGTTCAGTTTGTTCTTCCGCTTCTTCTTGGGTTGAGCAGGGGCGATCAAATGTATCGATTCCTCATCATCGGAGCCTTCTGTATGGTCGTCTTGCCGCTCCGAACTTGGGGCAGTGAGTTGTTTCTCCCGTTCCTGCTCCCGCTGGAGCTTACGCAAGGCTCGCGTAGACATTATGGGACGCAGATAGAGCTTGGCTGACAGAGTATGCGAAGGCGTGAGACAGTACTACCAGCAGACTCCGAGTCAAGCCGATTGCTGGCTTGACAATACTACGTACTACGTATAATTTCCTTCATCTGGATGACGAAGGTCTTGGCTTACACGCACTAAGCCCTACAGATCAGCAGCATAAATTATAGATGCAAATCTTAACTAACATCTGAACCCTGCAACAAGTCTCCCCCTTGATCCCTAACGGAGCAACGCAGTACCCTACCGCATAGGACGTTGCTCCAATGCGTCGAGCTGCCATTCAAGCTTTTCGGATTTCGCGACGGTCCTCCATTCGAAGAACGGCGGGCAGCAAAAGCACGTTCAATTTCTTGAACCATGGATTGAGTCTGCGTCCTGCGGCGTCCGTCAGGAGGTACAGCAGCGCTCCTGTTTCCTTACACTCTTCCATGTACTTTCGCAACTTCTCTCTCGCCTTCGTCACCTCTCTTGTTGCTGGGGGAGCTTACTACGCATATACTGGAGATGGACCAAAACAGCTGTTGAGGACAGATGCAGCCGACAGTGTTTCACCCCCACAAACAAGAGCACTGACTACTACGTCGAATGCTTTCGCAGAGGCTACTGGAAAACCTCAACACCCTCCCTTAGCCGCAGCGGCCACCGAACCGAGTCGGAGAGCTGTCGTTGTTGATAACGATCAGTTTTACACGGGCTCGATTGTCGGTGATGGACCGCTCTCCAAAGATACCGATGACTTTGGCAGAAAGGTGTTGGAGATGATGACACCTGCACAAGCAACAGAGAGACTTCGAAAGAATGAGGAAAGTTACCTAGTTGAGCGAGGTAAAGGGGTCGTGAGATATGACATTGTCCAGCTCCCCTCCAATAATCCTATCGAGGATGATCACGCCGAGAAGATTGTCCAAGTTCCTTCAACTGTCGCCGCCACGGACAATGGCGCTCCCAGTTCAGACTGGATGTTCTGGGGTGTCTTTGATGGTCACTCTGGTTGGACGACCTCTGCCAAACTTCGCCAAGTCCTCATCTCCTTCGTTGCTCGCGAGCTCAACAGTACATATAAAGCTGCTTTAACCAATACCGTATCACCATTTCCACCAGCTTCTGCCATTGACGCTGCTCTAAAGACTGCATTTGTAAAACTTGATGACGAGATATGCCTAGAGAGTGTCAACAAGCTGACGAAAAATCCTTCCAAACGACTCGGGGCGGAATTGCTTGCCCCAGCTCTATCGGGGTCTTGTGCCCTGCTGTCATTCTACGACACTCGCAGCAGGACCTTCCGTGTGGCTTGTACTGGTGACAGTCGAGCCGTGTTGGGAAGACGGAACCCTCAAAGCGGAAAATGGTTTGCGACACCTCTTTCGGAAGATCAAACTGGCTCAAATCCTAATGAAGCAGCGCGATTAAAATCAGAGCACCCTAACGAACCCTATGTAGTTCACCATGGCCGGGTGCTTGGACAGCTTGAGCCCACTCGTGCTTTCGGAGATGCATTCTACAAATGGTCTCGGGAAACGCAGGACAAGATCAAGCGCCATTTCTTCGGAAAGACGCCTCATCAATTCTTACAAACGCCACCATATGTGACTGCCGAACCGGTTGTTACGAGTACGCATATTGAACCCGAAAGGGGCGATTTCGTGGTTCTCGCCACCGACGGATTGTGGGAAATGCTTAGTAACGAGGAAGTCATTGGACTGGTGGGCCAGTGGATTGAGAAGCAGAATTCTGCCCAGTCAAACTCATCCAGCACAGCTTGGTTGACATCGTGGTTCAACCCTTCCAAGCCGCACCTACCTGTGGAGAAGGGAGGAAATAGTGGTAAATCCGGTCTCACTGAAGATAACTCTGCTGCACCAATCAGACAGCAGCAATGGGATATAGATCACGCAAACGAGGCAAGGTTTGTGGTGGAGGATAAAAATGCAGCAACTCATTTGCTACGGAATGCTTTGGGTGGTAAAGATAGAGACATGGTTTGCGCACTGTTGACATTGCCCAGTCCATACTCGAGACGATACAGGTATGTTCATTTGATATAACGGGCTGTGATTATAGCTGACTGATGGCCAGGGACGATCTCACCGTTGAAGTTATTTTCTTTGGCGAAGGCGAAGCTACAGGAAATGTGCTTATCAACAGAGACGCAACGGCTATCTCGAGCAATGGTGAACTGAAGGCAAAACTATGACCGAACTTCCGATCCAGCCTCTCTTTTCGACTCCTTGTACAGTGCATTGGGGTAGACACGTTTGTTTTAGAGCATGGCGTCCTGTCCAGCGGGAAGATGCATAAAAAATACCAGCGCTTGCATTCCACTGCACTTCGGTTTTCCGCGTGAGCTGGTTTGGTGGCTATTGTGAGGTCGATATAGATGACGTTCAATACAAGGGCCTCGAATCTGTCAACTGGCAGCAAGCGAGCCATCGCAGCCTTACTCCGTATAAGTACTCTTTGATTTCTCGCCAAAATTCTTAGCTAGCAACCGCCCCTATATTTAGGTCTCCTTCCCCCCTCTTTACCCCAAATTGTTGCATCTATACTACGTTAAGGTAGAGTTCAGGCCCGAGGCGTCGCCGGATGTGACCTTGACTGTCTTGGCTTCCATTGTCGCCTATTAACTCACGTACTTCTAGGTAGGATCCTGGGAGCTGTCTCGCGCACATCAAGCACTGACGGTTGAGGTCACATCCTACCACCAAACTACCGTATCCATTTCTCGGTACCAGATGTAGTGTTCGCAACCATTGTGCATGCTAAAATAGCCAGACCACTACCTCGTCCCCACTCTGACGAGCAAATGTCTCAGATCAAAATGAGAATGGTCACAGCTACCTTCTGTTTTGGGTGTTAGCTTGAGCTGATTAAATTGACGGGGGGCCTTGCCGTTGAAAGGCTGGCTGCCAGCATATGGTGTAGGCGAGTGGCTTTATTTGGTAGATGGGTGTTCTGCAAGGAGATGGCGACCGGACAGTGGAGAAATACATAAGACTTCTTGCTCGTCCTCTGCTTCTACTTCATGTCTTTGTAAGTCGTTGTACCAAGCGAGACAACTAAACTCAAGCAGAGAACTACGAAGACGAATCGATATCCTTTCAACCTCCTTCATAAATATTCCACATCGTGATATCCGTTTCACGAACACTAAACGTACTTCTGAATCCAAAGCCCATCGCCACAAGCAATGCGTCCCTCCCTCCTCATCCTCTCACTGACCTCCTCCCTCATCTCCCTCCTCCCCACCCAAGTGCTTGCCGAATCCCGATCTCTCCCACCTCTGTACATCGGCACAATCGACACCTGCTCCCCGAGCCGCAACTTCCTCAACTACGCCGCCTGGGTCGCATCCTCACAACCCTGCAAAGCCCATGGCCCCAACGCCGGTGACAGCAGCGCCCTGAGTCTCATCGGCGCCTACCCGGTCACCAACGCCGGGTGTGGTCGCGGCCCCGTCACAGTGGGTGGGTACGACAATGTCACGTTCACGGGTTGTTTGGGCCCGCCGGGGCCATATCCGACTGCGGTGGCGAGGGATGGAGTCGAGGTATTGACGTGTGCGCCGGTGAAGAGGGAGAAGAAGGTCAGACAGTGTGAGAGTGAGCTTTGTGAGCGCTTTGGGAGGAAGGGGGACTTGACGACTGTGCTTAGGTGTCGGAAGAGGAGGGTGCAAGGGGAGGATGAGGAAGAGGAGGAGGAGGATTATGAGTGAGTGAGTGAGTGGTGGGCAAGTTAGGTGTGGGTAGTGCTGGTGCAAGTGCAATGCTTGTTTAGAGAGATTGAATGTAGAGTGTTCCTCCTGTGCTCTGTGTGCTGTTGATATTGCTCTAGAAGGAGGCGCTTCAGTTCTTGGTACGGTGAAAATTCGGAACTCCACCCAGGCTGTTGACTCTATCACCAAGCACGCGCGCTGTTAACCCGCGTCAACCGTCAACCGTCAATCGTTCGAGCCGTGTCGATCAACCATTCAGACCTTTGCCAGTCATCCTGGATCGAAACTTCGATACGCGTCATACTTCTCCTGCCGTGCCTTCTTGCATGCTATCCTGCCACTGCGCTGCACTGCACTCCAGGGGATGCTTGGGCTTGCTTGGCGCTTATGTAACTTGATATCCTCGTCGACGTCGCTCGCTGCTCGCTGCTGCTGCTGCTGCTGCTGCATCTCGAAGCTTCCATCTGCTGGAGGTTGTCGCCAGTCTGCAACCAGTGTCCATTTGCTGTCGACCTCGTGCCAGCACTGGTTGGACAGACGCTTGGAAGGACAGTGACGCGTCCAGCCTCTCTCAACATAAGGATAATCGGAAGCATATCTCCCTGTTCTTAAGGTCGGCCGACCCTCTCGATAAAAATGGGCGATTCCAGTCCTGGCACTCGAGTCTTTTGCTTTCCTTATCCCCCTTTTTTTCCAAGTACGGGAGCACCCACGTTGGAGGCGAGAACAATAGCTAAAGAGTTCACCGCATTCATACCTTCCAACTCGAGAAACCGACAGTACTTCTGGAAGGAGAATGGAGGAGTTGACCGCGCCATGCCTTGTAGAAATGCCACCGCAAGGTTCTCAACGTCGAATGTTTCATTCGGTCGTGTCTTACTGATTTATATCAGCCCACAACCTGTCGTGTGCCGGAATGTTCTTCTCATCGCAATTCCTGTTATTCACGTGTGTTTAACAGAGTCTCGGCAGCCTGGCCAGCTTGCCAGACTGTATACAACGCCGAGAAACGACATCATGGCCAAACACAGACTTTATACGACGCCGAGAAACGACATCATAGCCAACGACGACCTCATCTTTTGCACACCTCAGCATGGAGACACTACTACTCACAATGTCTCACTGAATCGCACTGCACCTATCTTTGGTACGTTCGACTGTCCTTCAGAGTCCAGAGCACGATCTCGCCATCACTTTCGTAGAGGTGCCATAAGTGAGGCCAGTGGGCAATCTTTTCTACCTCTTGTTGATGGGGAGCACGCAGCTGCACAGACATTGCTACGCATCAGATCCATCACAGACAACGAGATTGAGATAATCTTTGTGCCTCCAAACCATCGACAATCACATAACTCTAACTCACCCTCACGAATACAGATAGATCGCTGGCGAGAACTGGCAGATCGGATCCATCGCGGACTATTGAACATCAGCAACTCCACCCTTCAACAACAGATCAACGTAGCAGTTGCTACTTTGCAGAGTCTGACCACTAACCGTCCATCACAAAATCGTCCAGCTATGGAGGGTAACGGTAGAGCCGGTCAATCAACCCCTTTCCGCAACACTTTTCGCTTTGGTCGTGAAGGATGGCCGACAGTAGATCCTGAGGACTCAGCCACTGCACGTCCAGCAACCATACCCGGCTCCAACTTTGTTGTGCCTGATTCTACACTGAACCTGTTCCAGTCTATGGACATCTTCGCCCCTCCTCCACCAAGACGCTCTACCATGGACCATATCAGAGACGTAAATGTGGAAACTGCTAGATATCTTCAACACATTCGAAACATGCTCAATGATACGGTAGCAGCCGTGCACGGTGGACGAGATGTACCTCCCGGGAGGCTCTTCACACTCAGTATGGAACTCAGCCGGGTCAGCCAACTGATGATTATTTTGCTCTCGGAGTTCGGTGAGACTGTCCGAGCTCAACTAGCGGCAGCAAGAGACAGCAGCCAGGATCAGTCGAGCAACTATGATATCACCGAGGCAGCTCTGCCCACGTGGACAGATGACGACGATTCATCAAGTTCTGAAAGTGGCGAGCCTGAAGGGTGGGCAAATATAGACCTTGCGCCTGATGGTGACTATCCTCAGGAAGTGTGCTTTCATATTGGAAATCAGCAATTCACGTTTCCAATGGAAGTGGTGGAAAATTGGATGATGAATGCGCGGAACTGGGATAGACTTGAAGCTCGCAATGCGGAGTTCATCCGACGGGACTTCGAACGATTCACTGAAACGGGGACGCTGGAGTCTATCGCCCACCGTTTTGCCAGACCAGACAATGTCAGATCCAGACGGGCGATTGCTCGTGAAGCACGTTACGAAGACATTGACGACTCATCTGAGGATGACGAGGATGACTACGAAGATATCGAAGATATCGAAGATAGCGAAGATGGTCAGGCGGACCCCGTGAGCTTCTTCAGTGACTCGGACGACGATATGACGGGTACCGAAGATGAGGCTGAAGAGGAGGAGGATGAAGAAGAGGCTGAAGAAGAATAGGAGGAGGAGGAGGCTGAAGAAGAGGATGAGGATGAGGGCGAAGAAGAAGAGGCTGAAGAAGAGGAGAGAGACGAAATGTAAAGCTACGCTGAGTCATAGGACTCGGTGGAAGTGGAGTAATCATCTGTACGGAGTAGATGCTGACGCCAATGCTGAGGCCAATGCTTAGGGCCAGAGCCAGGTGCCAAAATTCTTAAGACTTCCCCGC